TAGTAAAAGAGTTCAACAAATAATATGAAGAGAAAAAATAAAAACCTGTTCCTCAATGGAAGAGACAAGGCTATAAATAATCATCAAATCTCAAAATGTCTATTTCACTCCAATGTATTACATTTTAGGTACTCTATTAATTACCATGGATCAGGGAAAACATGATATCTGTCTTTTTTGGATTGGCTTTTTTCACTAAGTATAATGGTTTCCAGTTGCATCCATCTTGTTGCACAAGACAATATTTCATTTTTTAACAGCTGAGTAGTACTCCATAGTGTATATATACTGTAATTTCTTTATCTAGTCAGTAGTTGATGGACATCCAGGTTGATTCCACATCTTAGGTATTGTGAATTATGCTGCAATGAACATGTGGGTACAGATAAATCTTTCATGTGCTTATTTCTTTTGGTTTGGGTAAATTCCCAGGAGTGGAATGACTGGATCATATGGTAGGTCTATATTCAAATTTCTGAGGTATCTCCATACTGTCTTCCATGGTGGCTGCACCAGTTTATGCTCCCACCAACAGTAGACCAGGGTATCTTTTTCCCCACATCAGCACCAGCATTTTTTCATTGTTGATTTCTGTATGAGAGCCATTCTAACTGGAGTGAGGTGACACCTCATTGTGGTTTTGATTTGCATTTCTTTGACAGCCAGTGATGCTGAGCATTTTCTCAAGTGTCTGTTGGCAATTTGAATTTCCTCTCTTAAAAAATGCCTGTTCAAGTCCTTGGCCCATTTCTTAAATAGATTACTTGTTTTCTTGTTGTTGAATTTCTTGAATTCTTTATAGATTCTGGATGTTAACCCTTTATCAGTTGCTTAGTTTGCAAATATTTTCTCCCATTTTCTCAGTTACCTCTTCACCTTGCTGAGTGCTTCCTTTGCAGTGCAGAAGCTTCTCAGATTGATGTAATCCCATTTATCAATTTTGTCTTTGATTGCCTGTGCTTCTGGGGTGTTTTCCAAGAAGTCTTTGCCTATGTCTGTCTTGCAGAGTTTCCCCTATGTTCTCTATTCATTGATATTTTGATTGGGAGCACATTGAATTTCTAAGTTGCTCTTGGTAGTATGGACATTTTCTTTTTTCTTTTTTAAAAAATATTTATTTACTTATTTGAATGGCAGAGTTACAGAGAGGCAGAGGCAGAGAGAGAGAGAAAGAGATCTTCCATCTGCTGGTTCATTCCTCAGATGGCCACAACAGCTGTAGCTGCACCGATCTGAAGCCAGGAGCCAGAGCTTCTTCCAGGTCTCCTATGTATTTGTAGGGGCCCAAGGACTTAGGCCATCTTCTACTGCCTTCCCAGGCCATAGCAGAGAGCTGGATTGGAAGTGGAGCAGCTGGGACTCAAACCGATGACCGTATGGGATGCCAGCACTGCAGGCAGTAGCTTTATTCGCTACAACACAGTGCCAGCCCCTGAATATGGACATTTTTTAAGAAAGCTTTTATTTAATAAATATAAATTTCATAGGTACAGCTGTTGGATTATAGTGGTTCTTCCCCCCCATACACCCTCCCACCCCCAAACCATCCCTACTCCCTCTCCCATCCCATTCTTCATTAAGATTCATTTTTAATTAGCTTTATATACAGAAGATCAACTCTATACTAAGTAAAGATTTCAACAGTTTGCACCCACACAGACACACAAAGTATAAAGTACAATTTGAAAACTAGTTTTACCTTTAATTCTCATAGTACAGCTCATTAACGACAGAGATCCTACATGGGGAGCAAGTGCACAATGACTCCTGTTGTTGATTTAACTATTGACACTCTTGTTTATGATGTCAGTATTCACCCGAGGCTCTTGTCATGAGCTGCCAAGGCTATGGAAGCCTCTTGAGTTCACAAACTCCGACCTTATTTAGACAAGGCCATAATCAAAGTGGAAGTTCTCTCCTCCCTTCAGAGAAAGGCGCCTCCTTCTTTGATGGCCCCTTCTTTCCGCTGGGATCTCACTCACAGAAATCTTCATGTAGGTCATTTTTTGCCACAGTGTCTTGGCTTTCCATGCCTGAAATGTTCTCATGGGATTTTTAGCCAGATCCAAATCCCTTAACGCCTGATTCTGAGACCACAGTGCTGTTTAGGGCATTTGTCATTCTCTGAGTCTGCTGTGTGGCCCGCTTCCCATGTTGGATCATTCTCTCTTTTTTAATTATGTCTATTATTATTAGCAGACACTTGGTCTTATTTATGTGATCCCTTTGACACTTATTAAATATGGACATTTTGATGATGTTGATTCTTCTAATCCATGAACATGAAAGATTTTTCCATTTTTAATGTTTTTTTTCTATTTCTTTCTTTAATATTTTACAATTTTCATTCTAGAGGTCTTTCACATCCTCGGCTAAATTTATTTCAAATTATGTAATTCTTTTTGGAGGTATTGTCTGTTTATACAAAAGCTATTGATTTTTCCATGCTGATTTTATATCTTGTCACTTTACCAAACACTTTTATGAGTTTCAATAGTCTCTCAGTGGAGTCTTTTGGATCCCCTATATGTAGAATCATGTCATATGCAAATAGGGATAGTTTGACTTCCTCCTTTCCAATTTGTATTCCTTTGATTTATTCTTCTTGCCTATTGGCTCTGGCTAAAACAAAAAAAAAAATCAGCGAAATGAAAAACTGGCTTTTTGAAAAAATAAACAAAATTGACACACCATTGGTGCAACTAACCAAAAAAAGAAAGAAGGAGAAGACCAAAATACATAAAATCAGAGATGAAAAAAGGAAATGTTACAACAGATACCCCAGAAATAAAAAGAATGATCAGGAATTATTACAAAGAGCTGTATGCCTACAAATCAGGAAACCTAGAAGAAATGGATAGATTTCTAGACACATGCAATCTACCAAAATTGAGTCATGAAGACATAGAAAACCTAAAAAGACCAATAACCAAGATGGAACCAGTAATAAAGATGCTCCCAACAAAGAAAAGCCCAGGACCAGATGGCTTCACTGCTGAATTCTACCAAACATTTAAAGAAGAACTAATTCCAATTTCTCTGAAGCTATTCAAAACAACTGAAAGGGAGGGAATCTTCCCAAACTCCTTCTATGAAACCTCCATCACCTTAATTCCTAAACCAGAAAAAGATAAGACAGAGAAAGAGAACTATAGACCAATATCCCTTTTGAACATAGATGCAAAAATCCTCAACAAAATATTAGCTAATCGAATACAACACATCAGAAAGATCATTCACCCAGACCAAGTGGGATTTATCCCTGGTATGCAGGGATGATTCAACCTTCATAAATCAATAAATGTGATACATCATATTAACAAATTAAAGAATAAAACCATGTGGTTATCTCAATAGATGCAGAAAAGGCATTTGATAAAATACAACATCCTTCCATGATGAAAATCTTAAGCAAATTGAGTATAGAAGGAACATTCCTCAACACAATCAAGGCAATTTATGACAAACCCACAGCCAGCATCCTATTGAATTGGGAAAAGTTGGAAGCATTCCCCCTAAGATCTAAAACCAGACAAGGATGGCCATTCTCACCATTGCTGTTTAATATATTCCTAGAAGTTTTAGCCAAAACATGCACCTCTTCAAGTCCCCTCATCTGTCTTCATTTAACCCATTAAGAATATTTGCTATCTTTAAATTCTTATTTGAGTCTTTTGTTTTCTTTAAAAAGATCCCCAGTAGCTTGAATCCTCATTTGTTATTGTCTGACAGCAATGGTGACCCCCTGAATTCACTCCCCTGGCGAGGTCTCTGCATCACCCAGACGTCTGCCCCTAACCCTGACCACCTAGTGTTCTGGCAGGTGGATACCACACCTGGACAGGAAGGTAGACCACAGATGAGGGTCAGGCAGGTGACAGTTTTTTAGGGTCCCCAGTGTTGGTTGCTTGTAAAGGACTCCAGTGGTCTAGCCTGGGAACCTACACAGCATCTACAAAGAGCCTATGGAACAGTGTTTTCCAAACAAAATTAATCCCCTCTTGCCCTTTTTTGAGACAGATGCCATTTGTAAGTTCAGGGCTGTTTCCAAAGCACTGGTATATTTGGTGAAATAGTCTCAATACTTTATATTCATCCTTTCACAAAAAAGCTTTCCAAGTCCATTTGTACATTTAGGTGATTTTCAACCAGAATAACTGAATGTCAGTTTTTCTCAAGCAGTTTTGACAAAGTCACATGGCTTTCATAAGAGTTCCTGCCCAGTGTTTTTTTTTTTTTTCCTTAAAACTATACATAGATTCACCATTGGCACCAGAGATAAAAAGCAAGCAGTGGCCATTACATGTTGTGGCTCACTCATCCTGTGTATCAAATTTCTGGCATGCTCTCTTTTTTTTCAAGCCAAATTCATGAATATGCTCCTCTCTCTTTTAAAATATGGGTGCTCCAACTTTAGCTAGAAACCTCTGGTCTCAGGGCCGGCGCCGTGGCTCACTTGGTTAATCCTCCGCTTGCAGCACTGGCATCCCATATGGGCACCGGGTTCTAGTCCCGGTTGCTCCTCTTCCAGGCCAGCTCTCTGCTGTGGCCTGGGAAGGCAGTGAAGGATGGCCCAGGTGCTTGGGCGCCTGCACCCACGTGGGAGACCAGGAAGAAGCAGCTGGCTCCTGGCTTTGGATCGGTGTAGCTCTGGACGTGGCGGCCATTTGCGGGGGGTGAACCAATGGAAGGAAGACCTTTCTCTCTCTCACACTATCTATCTGTCAAATAAATAAATAAATAAATAAGATAAAAACTGGTCTCACCAACATGATTGTCCTCATGCTGCTAACTTGTTATCAGCAGAATGCGAGGAAAAGTGGCTCAAGCTGAGGGCACCCCCGTGACGAGCCTGTGCCTGCAGCTACCTAACAGACCCATCAGCAATGATGGCAGCAGAGCACCTGCTCTGCACTGCAGCCACTCAAGTTGTGTTGCTGGAAAAGCCACTGCTGCCTGCAAGAGTGTTTGTTTCCTTCCGCTGGAAAACATGTACTTACCCTAAAGAATAGAGGCGGCACTGCTTGTTGTGGATTTGCTGAGCTAAGCCAAACCTGTCATCGAGACACACTGACCAGGGCTGCTTGGCAGGGCTGGAGTCAGTAGCCAGGCTGAAGGTACTCATACGATTGCATGCAATCTGGAAGGATTGGAAATCAATGTGAATAATTTAAAATGCTGGATGAGAAATGGCAGGGAGGGACTTACAGCTTCCCTGGCCCCTGGAAACCTTAAGTAAGAAGAGAGTTATGTCTTCCACGGCTAACTGCTCCCATCCCCGGGGAGCCACAAGACTGCTGTACAACGCGAGGAGGAATTTCAAATACATGGCAAGTAATAAGTTACCTTAGAGAGAGACTACGTGCAGGTCTGAAGGGAAGCTGAGAGCTGCTATTGCCACACACATGAGGCAAAGAGGAGAGTCAGGAGCAGAGATGGGGCAAGAAGGGCCAGGAGGGCCTCATGGAGCGGTGTTAGTCTTGGAGGGGGAAGCTGCCCCAGGGCACTCCAGACGGGGCAGTGTCCCTTCTAGAAGGCCCCGATCTCAGGAGGAGACGTACAAGGTGATCCCTTGTTCCTGGCAGGGAAGGTGGGGGCACCAGGGACTGGAAGGATGGCATGTGTTAGCCCGAGTAAATCGTGGATCATGGCTCTAGAGGAATGAGCAGTGCCTGCTGATGAGGCAGCATCCCTCGGCGAGGCGCTGCTTTAATGAGCCTCCTCCTGGGAGAGAAGGGCAGGAGCTCCAGGCAGGAGGCTCTTCCTCAGCTAGCCGAAGCCCTTCTCTTAGCTCATGCATCCAAATGAGAGGAGCAAACCAAAGGGAATGTGTACTGAAGTCAAGCAGAAGCAAGTCGCTCATTTCAGCTGCACTTAGGCAAATGTACTTCCTAAGGGATGCGGACTTGTGTTGGAGGCTGGTACCATTTGCAGGGCTGAGTCTGTTGGCACAGAAGAAAACCAGTTCTATAGCCAAGACATGTATCATACTGAGCAACAGTATTCCCCCAAACCCTCAAAACTCTCCCGCTCATCGCGATGGCCCCTGGACGCACCGCTCTTGCTGTCGCACCATGGATCGCTCCAGATGCAAAGGGTTTGTTGAAGTTCATTGCTTTCCTTTGTGGGAAACCGAACGGCAAGAAATTTTCTTCTAAAGAAGACATTCTGGGTTTGTTCGATCTTTTTATTTAACTGATTTTCCAAATTGTTAGGCTAAGAAGAGCATATTTTGTGCAGCCTTTTCAACTAATACAGCTCCTGGATTACATTTGCTAACACCTGGGGCAGGCCTGACAAGACCATCCTGGGACTACTTGTCAGGGACCACGAGAGTGTCTGTTGCCAGGTTCTGGATAGCTCAGAGCAAAGCTGAAAAAGTGGGCCATCTATTTTGTATATAAATATATATATTATAAAACGTAATATATATTATATGCATTATAAAACATAATGTATATTATATATATTATTCCTCCATCACCCAGGCTCTGTCCCTCTCTATCTCCAACCACTGTTGGAAGGAAAAATAACAGAAAGTGGAATTGGAGTCTTTTCTCGAGGTGCTGCCACAGAACACATTTATTAGCAGTGTGCATCAACAGTTCACTTGTATAATTCATCTCCTCCTATTCTCCCACAGATGAATGGAAATCAAGCCCTTGCCTGCCCACTCACCCCAGGGAAGCCACGTTGCTAATCTAATTAGCCAGAGCCCCACATGCTCGCTGGGGCCGATTCTGCTGGTGAGCAGATGACGGCCTCAAACATCACTGCCTTCCTTAGCACTGTGTTCCACACCCCACCTGCAGCAGGAAGGCAGGTCAGGGCACGGCCATGGGGCCCCAAAACAGGCCAGGACTTCATAAGCCTGGGCCATTTGACCCAGGGCATGGAGTTTTGATGAAAGTGGTACAATGATTCCCATCTGTGGCTGTTCTTTGTGTGCGTTTCTCCCTCTGAACCTCCAAAGTGACAGGTCAGGACACGATGTCCACAGGCCTTTGTCATTAACACCATCACAGCCTAACTGTACCCTCTTCCATGGTGTTTCTCAGAATCACCTGGGAAATGGTTCAAGTGTGGATTCCTGGGTCCTAGAGCAGAACGGCCAAATAGGAATCTCTGAGGCTGACACCTGCGGATGGGATGTGCATAAGTGACCCCAGGTGACACTGAAGCAGGTGGTCCTGTGAGTTTACTGGAGGTCTCTAGTGAAGCCTCTGTGAAACGTCCCAGCCTGGTCTCGCCTGTGCCTTAGCACTAAGGGGAGATGCTATGCTTGGACCAGAGCTTCAGACTGGACGCTGCAGCTCCCCTGCCCCACCCCCAACAGAGGGCTGGAGGGGTTGGCACTGGCGATTAGTCAGAGGCCTCCAAATGTCAGGTGAGTATTAAGGGCCAGAGTCAGGGCTTTGAGGTGCAGGTGCTCCTGCTCTGGCAAGATCAGGGTCTTGGGCTTTATTCTTAAAGATGACCCTTTGGGATGGGCATTCAGATGCCTCTTGGGATGCCCACAGAGGAGTGCCTGGGTTCAGGTCCCCACTCCTAATTCCAGCTTCCTGCTAACGAGCAACCTGAGAGGCAGCAGCTCAAGTGCTTGTGTCCCTGCCACCCACATGGGAGACTCGGACTGAGTTCCAGGCTCCTAGCTTTGGCCTGGCTCAGTCCCAGCTCCTTTGGATATTTGGGGACTGAATCAATGGATAAAAGATCAGTCTCTCTCACACACACAAAATAAATAAATAAACACATTTTTAAAAATATTTTTATTTATTTATTTGACAGGTAGAGTTACAGACAGTGAGAGAGAGAGACACACAGAGAAAGGTCTTCCCTCCGTTGGTTCACCCCCGAAATGGCCGCCACGGCTGGAGCTACACTGATCCAAAGCCAGGAGCCAGGAGCCTTTTCCTGGTCTTCCACGTGGGTCCAGGAGCCAAGTACTTGGACCATCCTCCACTGCCCTCTCGGGCCACAGCAGAGAGCTGGACTGGAAGAGGAGTAACCGGGACTAGAACCCTGCGCCCATATGGGATGCCGGAGCCACAGGCAGAGGATTAACCTAGTGCGCCACTGCACCGGCCCCAATAAATATATTTTTAAAGATGGCACTTGGTCTCCTTTAAGCATTTCTTATTCTACAGATTTCATCCTGCACTCTTTTCTATTCAATCTCTCCAATAACATTCCCCCTTCCTCTCTTAGTTCAAAAAATACAACACCAGAGTTATTCAGTTTTAAGCATTTATTAACCATCTCATTGATAGACATTAGCTTTGGAAAACAACTAGGAGTGCTTCATAAAATTCTCCTCCAAAAATTAATTAAATATTGATTTTTTAAAAAAAACTTTCTAGTTAAGATTTATTGCTAGGGCTTCAATAAACTCTCGTGCAAGCAAAATGAGAGAGGGCAGTAACTTCTAGCTAAGCTCCAACTCAAGTAATTATGTTTTCTGCCCGTCTCAATCCTCTTGTAATTTTAGCCACTTCAAAGTAGGCCTAGACAAAGGGAAATAGACTCCAGGGGAAAAAAATGTTTCCTGAAATGATTTGTAGTTACTTAAAAGGACCCAATTTATTTTCACTGTATTTTGTATCCCATTAGCTTAAGTAGCATTTTTGCCATCTCATAAATAGAATCTAGCAAAGGGACCCCTTAAAATTTCGGGATCTCAGCAAGGATCATTTCAACTGAGTTCCACACACTTGTATGTTCTAGACAGTATCGGGGTTCCAAGGCAGGCTTGTATTTTTGTTGTTTTCAGCCTGAGGGGTGTGTGTGTGTGTGTGGCAGTGCATATAACAGATACTATTGTTGTAAAGTTATAGTCCCAATCTCCAGAGCCTAGGTGCTCAAGATATTCTTATAAGTTGATAGATGAGTAGATAATTAGATGATTGATAGATAGGGGATAGAGCGGAAAGACAGATGCATTTGAAAGCACATTTTAGTTTTTAAAACAGCCAGTGTTGCTGAGATTCATTTATACTGCAAGGCATGCTTCCGGGAGGCATATGGTTTGGGGGTTGCCATAAAAAGCTGAATCTGGAGCCTTCCCTTAGAATACAGCGCTGTCTTTACGACTTAACCATTTGCTGTCAGGCGTCGACAGGGCATCACATCACATCACACGCAGTACAATCATGGTCTTTCATGTTCGACAAACAGCAGTGTCCAGTCACACAGAGCTTCATGGGCAGCACACTCTGCCCTTACCTTTTGGGGCTTTAAAACTGCAAGTCCCTAACCACACCCTGCACAAGTCCAGGGCTGTCATGCCCAAGCATGCCCAGTGCCACACTGTCCCATGCCCTGTGCCTCTGCACGCAAGCCCCCTCAGCCGACAGAGCCATCTCCACCCACGGGTGCATCCTCTGTCGCATAGAACACATAATTCTCATTCACTCTCGATGTTTGCTTGGGAGTGGGAGATGCACCTGTTCTACCCAGTATTGATACCCCAGTGCCAGCCACAAAGCCAGTCCCCAACAAATATCTGCAGAGTTGAGGCATGAACAAATCAACAATGAATGTACCAAATGCTGGGCCTTGCTGTACAAGCTGGCACACAGATTTGAGGGAAATAATATTTTGTTAAAACAGCATAAGAGGAAGGGGGTGGAATTTGCTTTCGTACCTTCAGAGGTTTTATTTTTCTCTTGCCCATCATGACTCATTCCTGCTAACTGTGAAAACTGGAGGTAATGGTGGCTCTAATATTTTTGCCAGCTTTTTTTTTTTTTTTTTTTTTTTGGTAGAGTGTTATTGCAGGCTTTCCTTGTCAAGATGCATTCTAAATGAGGTACAAGGCACAAAAGCAGCCCCAAAGCCCTGCATTACACAGAAAGGGGGAGGGAGCAATGGCTAGGCAAAGATTCTGCTTAAGAAACACTCACTGTCATTGCAGATGGCTCCCACCAGCTGGCCTCCTGGCAGCTGAGAAGCACAGCAAAACACAGTGCTTTACTTGGGTAAAGTGACCCCTGATTACAAATACACTGTAAGGTCTGGAACTCCATCTCACTCTTCCTGGAGGACAGAAGCCTTCTAGTGGGGCCAGTGTTTTGGCACAGCAGGTTAAGCCACGACTTGAGATGTCCACATCCCAGATCAGAGAGTCCTGCCTCCACTTCCCAGGCAGCTTCCTGCTAATGCACCTGACCTGGGAGGAAGCAGTACTTGGGTTCCTAACACCCATATGGGAGACCTGGGGATGGAGTTGCTGGCTCCTGGTTCCAGTCCCAGCTGTTGCAGGCATTTAGGAGAATGAAAAAAATGGATGGAAGACCTCTCTCTGCCCCACCCCTCTCTCTCTCTCCCTCCCTCTCTCTCTCTCTGCCTTTAATAAATAAATCTTTTCAAAAATTCTTCTAGTGAAGCTGAATAATAATACTTCCATTCCAACTAACACACCATCTCCTTGAGGGCAGAGCTATATCCTCACAGCCTAGCAGTTCTTGATACCTTACAGGTGCTCAACAAATGCATGGTTGTCTCTCTGTCCCACTGCTTCACAAATATGTAAACAAAAATCTTTCAAAACACAGGGCAAATAACAATCCTGTGCTACTCTCTGCACAGCACGAGATCACAGCAACCCTGGAAACCATCTGATCCAATCTCGTCCTTCTCAGGATATGAACAGTGAGAGCCAGAGAAGAAAGCAAATCACCCAGGGCCACAGCATCATGCCACTTCACATCAGAGGCTGCTGCGCCGCTTTGAAAGAATTCTTTGCCTCTAAGCCCATAGCTCACGGGAAAGACTCAAGAGGAGTCTGAAATGATCAGCTCATGCCTCAAGAACTTCTAAGTAAATATGCTTTCCACAAGGTAGACAATATTGGCCTGAAATACATGCAGAATGGAATTTGAAGGCTTGCATTCGGTGTGTTTAATTTGGGGTGGGAGGTGGAACCCATAGTCCTCAAATTCAACTCATAAATTTGACACCTTTTGTTTTCCTCTGGAGCTTTTAAGGGTTTTTTTTCCCCCAATGATTTATTTATTTATTTACTTGAAAGGCAGAAAGAGACAGACACACACACACACACACACACACACACAGATAGAGAGAGAGAGAGAGAGAGAGAGAGAGAATCTTCCATATTCTGGTTGACTTCCCAAATACTTGCAATGGCTGGGACTGGGCCAGACTGAAACCAGGAGCCAGGAATTCCACCTGGGTCTCCCATGTGGGTGGTAGAGACCCAAGTACTTGAGCCATCATCTGCTGCTTCCCAGGCATGCTAGCCAGAAGCTGGATTGGCAGCAGAGTATCCAGGATTCAAATGAAGCACTCCAACATGGAATATGGGATATGACTGCTTAACTTACAGAGCTATCACGCTGCTGCCTTCCCCTGTCACCTTTAAGGGCTTTTTAAAACCAAAGTTAATAGGTCCAGCTATGTATCTTTCTTGTCAACCCAAACTGTAAAATTAAAATCTCAGTATTTTAATTAAGTCTACATAAGTCCACCAAATTAATCTGAAGCTGCAAAACAAGATGAAATCATGAAAAGCACGGGGACCAATTCATCCTTCCAACCCTCATGATGGATAGCACAAGCTTTTACTTCCATGCGTGGGTGACAAATACTAAAATCCCTGGGACTGTCTGATTGCATATGAAAAATGGGACTTTCTTTCACCCTAAACGTAGCCTCCTAAAGATCTAGAAATAGTTTCTCTCTACCAAAGGAAAAGTATGGTTTGGCTGTAAGTGAGATTTGGAAGGCGAAGGGAAGGTGCCAAAAGCCAGGGGCTGAAGGGAGACCCAAAGCATCCAGCATCCCCCGGCTGCTGCGACAGCTCCATGGGGAAGTTTCTCAAATGTGACCTCTGCTCGGCTCCCAGGCAGGTGTTAATCTACTAATACCTCTCAGTTCAAAGCCAAGTTCCCCTCCCAGCCTTGATATCCTCTTCCCTTTTCCCCAGGATCAGGCGACTTGAGAAGGGAACCTCCTGATTAATGTAATGTGTCAAGAGGCACAGTTTCGCCTTAATAGACGTCTCTGGCTGCTCAGGGCATGGTCTCAGCCAGGAGCTGGGCAGGAGCTGCCACAGTGGGTTAAGTCACTAATAAAAGCCAGGGCTCAGTAATGATGTGAAGTGCATTGAAGAGACAGCGCGCCTTTGGGTTCATTAACTCTCCACCCCCACCCTCCCACGCCCACCCAGGCTCCCGTGCTCCACTGCCTGGCACATCCCTGGCTACCTCACAACTGCAGCCAAACCATGAAGAGGCCAAATCCTCCAGGTCCACACTGGGGCCCGGGCCTCTGCGTGACAGCTCTGTTTGGTGACACACTCGACCACCTGCTCACGGGGACAGATCTGCTGCATTCAAAGGTTTCCAAAGCAATTTTGTAAAGTGGATCTTTTAAAACACTTTGAGATGAATCATCAGAACATCTCAGACTGATGAGACTCGTGCAAGGCAGCAGACACCTGAGCGAAAGCAAGGTGACTTCGTGCCTCCGAGAGAGTGGGTCGATGAAGCAACAACGCCTGGGAAACCATGTCCCTTGCACGTCCCAGCAGGAGCGGCTGAGAACCACTCCCCTGCCCCTTGGACAAATCCTGCTTTCACAGGGCCAACCAGTAGCTCTCACAAGACCACCAAACCCACTTGGGCCCAAAACACAACCTGTGTGGTGCTGATATAGCTCAGGAACCTCAAGGCTTCTTCATCCAGGGACCGAGCAGGGCCTGCCCAAGGCTGCAGCTCTATGTGCCATCGGGGACCCTGTGGGAGACAAGAGAACACACAGGTGGTGGTGAGGAACCAGGGGCTTGGCCGGGTGGGAAGAGGAGCCAAGGGGGGCGAGGCTGCCTTAGCCAGCAGCAGACCAAGCAGGTATGCACAGAGGCACAGCAAGCTCAGATGCACCTGCTGGCATCTGGGCCTTGTCAATCACAGGGAGACAAATGAGACCTGAGAATGGCCAGCTCCCCAGGAAGCAGAGGATTGCCATGGCCTTGGGGCCTGATGGAGGTTTCTGATCAAAGGCAACCTCCACTTGCCCCACTCCCCGGGCTCGTGCTTAATTGCAGTTTTCTGTTGTGTGATGCTCTTCCCTATACAGAATAAAAACTTGCTCATTTACTACAGTGCCCAGAGCTCAGGACTTCAGACATCTGCGTCTCCAAGGCCAAGGGGTGTCCTTTGCAGCACCGTGGTGCCACAGTGGCCTCTTTGTGGGGCAGGGGCACTTGGAACCTGGACAGTTTCCTTGGCACAGGGCCATGGGCCCTGATGACTTCACAGCTGGGACAGTGCAGCGGGGGTGAGGACCCCAGAGCCCTTACCACCAGAGCCCATCGTGTGGGGTGGTCCCCACCCTCCAGCAGGGGACCCGAGGCACTCCCTTGAGTTAAGCCCCCTTTTGCAGCAGGGACAGGTGGAGGAGGGAGGGTTGGGAGGAGGCAATAGTCTGAAAGAAGCAGAAGTGGGAACCCCCCCCGGCCCCCAGGCAAAAAGGGTGCACAGGTCAGGAAGTCCTTGCTGGAGCTCAGAGCCCCCCACCTGTGACTGTCAGCACCCAGAGGCCCCCAGGTCGTTCATGGGGATTTTGAGGGATGGGAAGGGCTCAGCACGCAGGTAGGGCTGGGCCAGGAGGCAGGGAGAAGCTCCAGCAGCCAGCAGGTGAATGTCTTGTTTCAGGAAAGTCTGCAGGTGTCACAGCAAAGTGCTTAGGTCAGGACCTCAAGCCCTTTTTGTGGCGAGGAAGGGGCAAGAGAGGCTTCTGGGGGCAAGCTAGGGACCATTCTTGGGGACACATTGTCCTCCAGTCAGGTGCTGTGGCAGGACCCGGCTGCCACCCCGGAGAGAAGCAGCGAAACAGGCTGTGGTACACAGGTGGTTTATGGCCCCAGATGTAGTGGCTTAAACTGCAATCAAGGAGGGGCAGGAGCCACACAGGAGAGTCGGTGAGAAGCCAGCGTCTGGGCACGGGGAAGAGGAGCAGCTCTGGGCTGAGCTCAGTGAGCTCAGTGGCGATGCTGCGGAGTGATGGAGTGCAGAGTCCCAGGGCCCACGGCCCAAGCATCCTTGCAGCCCCTCCAGACTGAGAGGGCACGCCCCGACTCTCCACACTCGGCCTTTTCTCAGGAACCCATGAGGCATCCTGGGTGCACCGCCTGTGCAGCCCAGGAGGGGCGGCACTTGGCTGACAGCCCTGCCGACACCATCCTTCACTTCACACTGGGCTCCACGGATGATGCAGCCAGTGTGCCCGAAAGATCCTCTTCTGGGGGAGAGCAGCCTTTTTTCATAGCTGCTCTCGCTCTGTGAAGGCCAGGCAGGCAGAGACTTGCAGAAGTTCTGGTTTCCTTCTAAACCAAGCATCAGCCAAGCGTATCCTACTCAGAGAGCCAGAAAACTCCAATACATCTCCCGGTGAATGCGTTCCACCCCCTGGTTCCCTTTCTCCTTCTCTGAAGGAGACTTTGATGATGACCAGGTCCAACAATATTTGCTGAGCGTCAGCTCACTCTGCCAGGCCCAGACTCTCCCAAGAGGGTCTCGCGGAGTCGGGTGGGGGAGACAGATAGATGCAGAAATCCCAACACAACCCAGAGAGTCATTCTTTTCAGAAAAGCCTTTCATTTTGCAATCACAAGGAATAAGCACGTTAGCACACACGCCTCCTGGTTTTGCTGGCTTACTAGGTGAGCAGTAGGAGACACTGCCAGGGTACCCCAGCAGTCGGTGCGGCAACCTGGGGTTCAGAATCCCCCCTGAATTGCCATGGGCCACCCACAAAGGGCCCCCAGCAGTTGGCCCACAAGACTCCTATGAAAACAATGAAGTTCACCTTTTGGCTTTCTTCTAAATCAAGCATCAGCCAAGTTTATCCTACCCTGGGTCAAATAGGGACTATTTTAGGCCCTGCAGGCCTCTGGGATTCTGTTGCAATACCTCACCTCCTGTTGTGGCTCAAAGTAGCCACAGACAGCAAGCAAGCAAAGAGGCATGGCTGTGTTCCAATAAAGCTTCATTTGCAGCCACAGGGGGCGGGGCTGCACTTGGCCTGAGAGCTGTAGTTTGCTGACCCCTGCTCCAGATGATTCTAAATGGTTGGCCTAGCAGAGTGTCTACTTGGAACAACGCAAGAGGGACAAATTGTGGTTTCTAGATAACCAACTACTTTGTCAACTGAGTGACTTGGGAAAATATAAGTCAGGTCCCAGCAGGATTCAGTGGGCTCCTTCAAACTGCTAATTGGAGAGAATGCCACAAAGTTGACAAAGATAGGGGCAGGGTTTCAAGACACCAGTAAGAACCAGCGCAATACCTGTGGCTGGTAACACCAAGGAGCCCGCCCAGGCGCTGGGCAAGGGACATGGAGAGAGCTTCAACAGAACAACACGCGGGGCCTGCCACTGTGGCACAGCGGGCTAAACCACTTCCTGCAAAGCGGCACCCCAGATGAGGCCTTTTGGAATCTCAGATGCTCCACTTCCAAACTAGCTCCCTGCTAATGCACCTGGGAAAAGCAGCAGAAGATGGCCCAAGTACTTGGGCCCCTATAACCCACACGAGAGACCTGGATAGATTTCCAGGGTCCTAGCTTTCACCCTAGCCCAGCTCTGGTCATTGCAGCCATATGGGGAGTGAATCAGCAGATGAAAGATTCTCTCTCTCTCTCTCTCTCTCTATATATATATATATATACACACACACACACATATGTGTGTGTATGCCTTTCTTTCTGTCTCTCTTTCCTTCCACCCTTGTAACTGCCTTTCAAATAAATCTTTTAAAAAAGAGAAGAATACAGCCAATTCTAGCAATACGCCATCCTACCTGTTCCACCCACCAATCTCGTGCCTCCTGCTGGCCCCACCCAAAGGGAAGACAGGGGAGAGAAAGGTGGTGGTTGGCGCATGCAGAGCAGGTGGAGCAGGGTGGAGATCAGAGCTGACCAGCAAAGGGAAGGTCTCTGTGCAGCCTTCCTAGGAAAGGGCAGCGAGACTTGACCAAGGAGTCGTTCTTTCACTCGGTGGGCTTTTGTGCTGCAGGCCAGGCTCTGCGCTGCAATTTAAAATAGGACTTAGCTATGCCCACCAATAAGTGTCATGAAGTGTGTAGGGGCTCTGATGGAAAGGCTAATGGGGTACAAAGATGCAGCCCATGAGTATTGCTCTGAAAGAAATGCCAGAAAGCACAAGTGCAGGTGATGAGAAACTACGTCCATGGCTCAGGCCCCGGAGCACATGAGGGTCTTTCTAGCATCATTAGAGACACCTTACCCAGAGTACCAGCATTTGACACGGGCTCACACACAGAAGCGATGTCACAGGCCCCTCACTGTGAATCCACGTGGCGAAACGACAGAACTGCCTTAGGATCTCCCTTCCTGCAATCGGAGAGTTCCCGCTTCCAGCTGCAGGTTGACCGCACGCAGCCAAGCACAGGGAAGGGTGGCAGCTGAGGCGGCTCAGGTGCAGATGATAGAAACGTACTGCAGAGAGCTGGCCCCAGAAGTGCTCTGGCTTAATGCTTTGGCTGAGCTGTTTAAAAAACATTTCACATAAAGCAATGTTCTTATTGGAATCGGTCTGACAGCAGTTCGTGATTATTTCCCCATGGAAACCACTAGCTTCTATCATCTCTTTCAATTATCATTCGTCTTAACTCTCTCGTGCACACATCAACACGTGTCCTTCCCAAATTCCCACACATAGAATTCTGAGTACCTTCAAACACCAATGGCAGATTTAAAAGAAAAGGGCCAAAATGTTTTCCATTAAAAAATTTTTATTATTATGATTCTATCCCAAACAATTACCCAAGCACTTTGAACATCAAGTGGCTGTAACAATTCACCCCCTTAGCTCGCAGCAGGTGGGAATGTGGATTCCTAATTTTGTCTTCAGAGGGGTAGCAGAAGGTGGTTGGAAGGACTGCTATGTTGGATCTGTCTTTCTGTCTGTCCTCACCAGGCCTGAGTTGAAATGTCAGGTGGGGCACCGCAGCGAGTGCTCACAGAGGCCTGTTCCTGAGCCCCTGTGGGGCCGGGAGCCCCTCTGTTCCTTTGAAATCCAAGGTCCTGCTCCCTAAACCACCAAGGCAGTCACACAAAGGAGCCTCCCCCAACACCTCCCACCTCACCCCCACACACACCTAACAAGTAATTCTCAAGGTAGTAGTGGGGGATTTTGTGATTGTTGTTAAATATTTTTAATTTATGGATTTGAAAGGCAGAGTGACAGAGAGAAGCCAGGAGCCAGGAGCTTCTTTCGGGTCTCTCATGTGAGTGCAGGGGCCCAAGCACCTGCTTTTCCAGGTGCAAGGAGCTGAATCCAAAGGCAGCAGCCAGGACTCAAAATGGTGTTCTGACATGATAGCCTGCTATGCCATAATGCTGACCCAGGTCCTGAATTTCTAAGGAAAGCAAGGAGCCACTTACTATTTTGTTAAGGCCTCTCCAGCACCTTCTCTGGGAAATATGCATTGAAAAGTGCATTGGGGGGCCAGTAAGGCCACCGCCTGCAGTGCCGGCATCCCATATGGGCGCCAGTTCGAGTCCCAGCTGCTCCTCTTCAAATCCAGCTCCCTGCTATGGTCTGGGAAAGCAGAAGATGGCCCAAGTCCTTGGGCCCCTGCACCCACGTGGGAGACCTGGAAGAAGCTCCTGGCTCCTGGCTTCGAATTTGAGCGGCTTTGGCCATTGCAGCCAACTGGCGAGTGAACCAGCAGATGGAAGACCTCTCTCTCTCTCTCTGCCTCTCCTTCTCTCT